GGCAGGACGGCAGCGGTGCGTGTCGTGCAAAAGAGAGCACCAACGGGCCTGCATGGGTGTGCATGCAATATATACAATGGGCACATTATGTGTGTGCTTCGTGGGATGGGGTGAGGGCGAGAGTCCATGCAAGGGGACACACACAGAGAGTGGGTGAAAGACGAGTGTGTGTGCGGGCGGTGCATGGCGCTCTCTCACTCACTCTCACGCGGCCACCACCGCAGCCGCAGCCGCACACACCACGAAACTGATGGAATCAGTGCGATTGCAGAACTCGCACACCGTCCTGCAAACCAGAAGTTTAAAAAGCAATAAGAAACAAGAATTCCAAAAAAAAAAAAAGGAAAAAAACTTAGGCTTCTTCGGGGCTCGAACCCGCGCCCCGGATGACATTGTGAGCTTGTTTGCCACTGAGCTAAAAAAAATGTGGTCGCGCGACCCATTTTCACGTAAGGTGTTAATTTCGATCTTCGAACAATCGAGCACATTTGCGTTGTCCCCTGGAAAGCGAAAGCGACATGTTTAGGGTGCGCCGCCGCAGCGTGGATACCTCGATTCGTCGTCATATATCTCTCGTACGGGGCCGCAGCCGCAGCGTGAATACTTCGATTCGTCGTCATATATCTCTCGTACGGGGCCGTCGCCGCAGCGTGGATACATCGATTCGTTGTCATGTATCTCTCGTTCGGGGCGGACCGCCGCAACTTGGATAATTCGACACGTCGTCATGTATCTCTCGTCCGGGGCAGCCGCTGCAACTTGGATAATTCGACACGTCGTCATGTATCTGTCGTCCGGGGCCACCGCCCTACTCTTTTTTATTCCTTGCGGCGGCCAACCCCGGCAGTAAGGACAAAAAACAGGATCGCGTTTTTTTTAATGCTTTTCCTGTTTGGGGGGGCGGATCTTTGTTTTCTATGATTGCCCCCCCCCCCTTTTTTTGTCTATTCCAGGTTGGTTTTAGGAGGCTTGATGTGCCTGCTGGGTGATCGCCGGCTTTTTTATTGGTGATTGCGTATTTTTGGCTTACCGGTGTGCCGCTCAGCGCCATTTTGTTTTACTTCTTTTCTGCTTATTGGGGCGTGTTGTTATTCGTCACGCGTCAGCACACACCGAGCAACATGTCAAAAAAACAAAACGCAGGCTTCTTCGCCCCTCGCGAGGGCCTCCGCAGCCACAATCCTGTGCGTGCGTGCATTCTCAGCGTTTTAAACACGGCATGTGTGTGCATGTGCTTGTGTGTTTGGCAGCGCCTATAATTGCAGAGCAGCTGTGCGCCACAAGAGAGTCAGAAGAAAGCAACGGCAGAGAGAGGCAGATAGAACACACGCAAAAATTACTCATATCATCACACACAAACAAACACACGCAGCCCGCGGAATGGGTGCTCTCAACCACAAAACAATGAAAAACAAAACAAAAAGCCGAAGCGTGGGACGACCAGCGCACACACTCTCATTGCTCCCGTAAAGCAAAACACACACACAGGGAGAGAGAGAGAGAGAGGTCGCCCACTCAATGCAATAAAAACAAAACAGAAACAGTTACGGTGCTCCGCCCATGCAGCCAGGCAGGACGGCAGCGGTGCGTGTCGTGCAAAAGAGAGCACCAACGGGCCTGCATGGGTGTGCATGCAATATATACAATGGGCACATTATGTGTGTGCTTCGTGGGATGGGGTGAGGGCGAGAGTCCATGCAAGGGGACACACACAGAGAGTGGGTGAAAGACGAGTGTGTGTGCGGGCGGTGCATGGCGCTCTCTCACTCACTCTCACGCGGCCACCACCGCAGCCGCAGCCGCACACACCACGAAACTGATGGAATCAGTGCGATTGCAGAACTCGCACACCGTCCTGCAAACCAGAAGTTTAAAAAGCAATAAGAAACAAGAATTCCAAAAAAAAAAAAAGGAAAAAAACTTAGGCTTCTTCGGGGCTCGAACCCGCGCCCCGGATGACATTGTGAGCTTGTTTGCCACTGAGCTAAAAAAAATGTGGTCGCGCGACCCATTTTCACGTAAGGTGTTAATTTCGATCTTCGAACAATCGAGCACATTTGCGTTGTCCCCTGGAAAGCGAAAGCGACATGTTTAGGGTGCGCCGCCGCAGCGTGGATACCTCGATTCGTCGTCATATATCTCTCGTACGGGGCCGTCGCCGCAGCGTGGATACATCGATTCGTTGTCATGTATCTCTCGTTCGGGGCAGCCGCTGCAACTTGGATAATTCGACACGTCGTCATGTATCTCTCGTCCGGGGCAGCCGCTGCAACTTGGATAATTCGACACGTCGTCATGTATCTGTCGTCCGGGGCCACCGCCCTACTCTTTTTTATTCCTTGCGGCGGCCAACCCCGGCAGTAAGGACAAAAAACAGGATCGCGTTTTTTTTAATGCTTTTCCTGTTTGGGGGGGCGGATCTTTGTTTTCTATGATTGCCCCCCCCCCTTTTTTTTGTCTATTCCAGGTTGGTTTTAGGAGGCTTGATGTGCCTGCTGGGTGATCGCCGGCTTTTTTATTGGTGATTGCGTATTTTTGGCTTACCGGTGTGCCGCTCAGCGCCATTTTGTTTTACTTCTTTTCTGCTTATTGGGGCGTGTTGTTATTCGTCACGCGTCAGCACACACCGAGCAACATGTCAAAAAAACAAAACGCAGGCTTCTTCGCCCCTCGCGAGGGCCTCCGCAGCCACAATCCTGTGCGTGCGTGCATTCTCAGCGTTTTAAACACGGCATGTGTGTGCATGTGCTTGTGTGTTTGGCAGCGCCTATAATTGCAGAGCAGCTGTGCGCCACAAGAGAGTCAGAAGAAAGCAACGGCAGAGAGAGGCAGATAGAACACACGCAAAAATTACTCATATCATCACACACAAACAAACACACGCAGCCCGCGGAATGGGTGCTCTCAACCACAAAACAATGAAAAACAAAACAAAAAGCCGAAGCGTGGGACGACCAGCGCACACACTCTCATTGCTCCCGTAAAGCAAAACACACACACAGGGAGAGAGAGAGAGAGAGGTCGCCCACTCAATGCAATAAAAACAAAACAGAAACAGTTACGGTGCTCCGCCCATGCAGCCAGGCAGGACGGCAGCGGTGCGTGTCGTGCAAAAGAGAGCACCAACGGGCCTGCATGGGTGTGCATGCAATATATACAATGGGCACATTATGTGTGTGCTTCGTGGGATGGGGTGAGGGCGAGAGTCCATGCAAGGGGACACACACAGAGAGTGGGTGAAAGACGAGTGTGTGTGCGGGCGGTGCATGGCGCTCTCTCACTCACTCTCACGCGGCCACCACCGCAGCCGCAGCCGCACACACCACGAAACTGATGGAATCAGTGCGATTGCAGAACTCGCACACCGTCCTGCAAACCAGAAGTTTAAAAAGCAATAAGAAACAAGAATTCCAAAAAAAAAAAAAGGAAAAAAACTTAGGCTTCTTCGGGGCTCGAACCCGCGCCCCGGATGACATTGTGAGCTTGTTTGCCACTGAGCTAAAAAAAATGTGGTCGCGCGACCCATTTTCACGTAAGGTGTTAATTTCGATCTTCGAACAATCGAGCACATTTGCGTTGTCCCCTGGAAAGCGAAAGCGACATGTTTAGGGTGCGCCGCCGCAGCGTGGATACCTCGATTCGTCGTCATATATCTCTCGTACGGGGCCGCAGCCGCAGCGTGAATACTTCGATTCGTCGTCATATATCTCTCGTACGGGGCCGTCGCCGCAGCGTGGATACATCGATTCGTTGTCATGTATCTCTCGTTCGGGGCGGACCGCCGCAACTTGGATAATTCGACACGTCGTCATGTATCTCTCGTCCGGGGCAGCCGCTGCAACTTGGATAATTCGACACGTCGTCATGTATCTGTCGTCCGGGGCCACCGCCCTACTCTTTTTTATTCCTTGCGGCGGCCAACCCCGGCAGTAAGGACAAAAAACAGGATCGCGTTTTTTTTAATGCTTTTCCTGTTTGGGGGGGCGGATCTTTGTTTTCTATGATTGCCCCCCCCCTTTTTTTGTCTATTCCAGGTTGGTTTTAGGAGGCTTGATGTGCCTGCTGGGTGATCGCCGGCTTTTTTATTGGTGATTGCGTATTTTTGGCTTACCGGTGTGCCGCTCAGCGCCATTTTGTTTTACTTCTTTTCTGCTTATTGGGGCGTGTTGTTATTCGTCACGCGTCAGCACACACCGAGCAACATGTCAAAAAAACAAAACGCAGGCTTCTTCGCCCCTCGCGAGGGCCTCCGCAGCCACAATCCTGTGCGTGCGTGCATTCTCAGCGTTTTAAACACGGCATGTGTGTGCATGTGCTTGTGTGTTTGGCAGCGCCTATAATTGCAGAGCAGCTGTGCGCCACAAGAGAGTCAGAAGAAAGCAACGGCAGAGAGAGGCAGATAGAACACACGCAAAAATTACTCATATCATCACACACAAACAAACACACGCAGCCCGCGGAATGGGTGCTCTCAACCACAAAACAATGAAAAACAAAACAAAAAGCCGAAGCGTGGGACGACCAGCGCACACACTCTCATTGCTCCCGTAAAGCAAAACACACACACAGGGAGAGAGAGAGAGAGAGGTCGCCCACTCAATGCAATAAAAACAAAACAGAAACAGTTACGGTGCTCCGCCCATGCAGCCAGGCAGGACGGCAGCGGTGCGTGTCGTGCAAAAGAGAGCACCAACGGGCCTGCATGGGTGTGCATGCAATATATACAATGGGCACATTATGTGTGTGCTTCGTGGGATGAGGTGAGGGCGAGAGTCCATGCAAGGGGACACACACAGAGAGTGGGTGAAAGACGAGTGTGTGTGCGGGCGGTGCACGGCGCTCTCTCACTCACTCTCACGCGGCCACCACCGCAGCCGCAGCCGCACACACCACGAAACTGATGGAATCAGTGCGATTGCAGAACTCGCACACCGTCCTGCAAACCAGAAGTTTAAAAAGCAATAAGAAACAAGAATTCCAAAAAAAAAAAAAGGAAAAAAACTTAGGCTTCTTCGGGGCTCGAACCCGCGCCCCGGATGACATTGTGAGCTTGTTTGCCACTGAGCTAAAAAAAATGTGGTCGCGCGACCCATTTTCACGTAAGGTGTTAATTTCGATCTTCGAACAATCGAGCACATTTGCGTTGTCCCCTGGAAAGCGAAAGCGACATGTTTAGGGTGCGCCGCCGCAGCGTGGATACCTCGATTCGTCGTCATATATCTCTCGTACGGGGCCGCAGCCGCAGCGTGAATACTTCGATTCGTCGTCATATATCTCTCGTTCGGGGCGGACCGCCGCAACTTGGATAATTCGACACGTCGTCATGTATCTCTCGTCCGGGGCAGCCGCTGCAACTTGGATAATTCGACACGTCGTCATGTATCTGTCGTCCGGGGCCACCGCCCTACTCTTTTTTATTCCTTGCGGCGGCCAACCCCGGCAGTAAGGACAAAAAACAGGATCGCGTTTTTTTTAATGCTTTTCCTGTTTGGGGGGGCGGATCTTTGTTTTCTATGATTGCCCCCCCCCTTTTTTTTGTCTATTCCAGGTTGGTTTTAGGAGGCTTGATGTGCCTGCTGGGTGATCGCCGGCTTTTTTATTGGTGATTGCGTATTTTTGGCTTACCGGTGTGCCGCTCAGCGCCATTTTGTTTTACTTCTTTTCTGCTTATTGGGGCGTGTTGTTATTCGTCACGCGTCAGCACACACCGAGCAACATGTCAAAAAAACAAAACGCAGGCTTCTTCGCCCCTCGCGAGGGCCTCCGCAGCCACAATCCTGTGCGTGCGTGCATTCTCAGCGTTTTAAACACGGCATGTGTGTGCATGTGCTTGTGTGTTTGGCAGCGCCTATAATTGCAGAGCAGCTGTGCGCCACAAGAGAGTCAGAAGAAAGCAACGGCAGAGAGAGGCAGATAGAACACACGCAAAAATTACTCATATCATCACACACAAACACACACACGCAGCCCGCGGAATGGGTGCTCTCAACCACAAAACAATGAAAAACAAAACAAAAAGCCGAAGCGTGGGACGACCAGCGCACACACTCTCATTGCTCCCGTAAAGCAAAACACACACACAGGGAGAGAGAGAGAGAGAGGTCGCCCACTCAATGCAATAAAAACAAAACAGAAACAGTTACGGTGCTCCGCCCATGCAGCCAGGCAGGACGGCAGCGGTGCGTGTGGTGCAAAAGAGAGCACCAACGGGCCTGCATGGGTGTGCATGCATATATGCAATGGGCACATTATGTGTGTGCATCGTGGGGTGAAGTGAGGGCGAGAGTCCATGCAAGGGGACACACACACAGAGAGAGAAGGACGAGTGTGTGTGCGGGCGGTGCATGGCTCTCTCTCCCTCACTCTCACGCGGTCACCACCGCAGCAGCAGCAGCGGCCGCAACAAGAAGAAGAAGCAAAAGAGGGGAGGTGGTGTGGAACACCGCGGTTCTGCTGTCGCTGTCGGTAGTCTTCGTGATATGTTTCATAGCTGCGCTTTCGACTGCTTTTTGCTTCGTATTGCTGTGCTCCTTTTCATCTTCTTTTCCTTCTACCCTCCCTGCGTCATCGGATTCCGGTGCATTCTTCGGCGTCCCCTCATTACTTGGGGTATTGCTGACAGCTGAATCTGATGGTGGCCCTTGCGGTGTTGGGGGCTCGTCGGGCTCATCTGGAATGGCAGCGTAATACGTACACATATCCTTAACATCAGGGCCATGAATTCCACTCGGCGTCTTATTATAAAAAGTGTCACAAATCCCCTTCATTGCAAAGTTTATGCATCTCTTCATCGCTGGCACATTCACCGTCCCATTCTTCGTATTTTCCGTCGCGCATTCTTCCTTCATCAGAACATGCCAATTCAAGATGATTCTGTCAGCAGGTGTTGTCTTACTGGCAGCACCATTGGCAGAAGCTTCCGCCTCGTTGGCAAAACCGCCGCCGGCACCTCACCACAGCACGCAGAGGGCACACACCAGCAGCACACGGCCAGCCATCATCATCGCCATCACTCCTGTCACTTGCGTGTAGCCTTCAGCACAAACTAACTCCCAGTCAACGCAGAGGGAAAGGGAAAAGTCACACAATCACGCACAGTGACAACAACAGCATCCCAGCTTGCACACACCATGGGACAGGTGGAACCAGTAAAAAGGCAAAAAACACACACCGCCCCGCAAATCAGAAATTTAAAATAAATAAAAACTGGGTTAATAGTCCGGCAAGACTCCCGGAAAGGATAAGGAAAATAGATTAGATCTTAATTTTATTTCATGTACCATGCAGCACAATATAG